TTGCCCCCCCCCCCCCCCCACCCCCTCCCACCTCTTCCCAAGCAGGAGTTTGGACATCACAAGGACAAATTCCATCTAGCCTGTGGATGTGGACTCCAGCTTGCTCACACTTACACACACACAAATACAGACTTCATGCATTCCTTGGACTCAGTGCCTCGCTGTTACCTTTCCCCTTCCTTCCATCCCCCCATCCCTCCCTCCCTATGTGTCCTTGATTTGACTGTATCTGTGCTTTAGTGTACGAGGTGTTTTTTTTATATCACTGTTATATCCCCTGTAGGGGGCGTGGCACTGGGCCTTTTTTTCTCCCTCTTCCCGCAACCGCTTTCCCAATGTATTCTGTATTCTTTTTGTTCTGAAGAAAAAATGGATTCTGGCGCTGTGGAGACGGCTGCCTTTCCAGTATCTGCTGGTAACCTTAATTTCCTGAGGGAGTCTTCCCAAGGGATCAATAAAGTTCTGTCTAAGTCTAAGTCTAGTCCTGGGTCACGTCTGCCCTGGAGGCCCATCTCCTCACCCTGCAGGTGGTCCTGGTGCAGGAGGTGGTGACGGGCATCCACAGGTCTCTGTTGGTGTCTCTCTTCTCCACGATGTAGTTGGAGATGGCGCAGCCGCCGTCGTCCAGGGGCGGGTTCCAGGAGATCACCATGTAGTTCCTGTAGACCTCGTCGAACACCACGGGGCCCTCTGGAGGCTGAGGACGGTCTGGTGGGGGGAGCATTCACACAGGTTATTCAGACTGTAGGGAAACATTTGCAGCTTGACTTAGGCTCTCTGAGGAGTCTGAGGAGAATTGGGATTGTGCTTTACTATCTGATCTCATCCTCTGGATCTCATAGATTCAAACAAAGGGTCTGGCTCATTTGACCCCTCACTAACGTATTGAGCTTGAAAAGTTCAGTTCAAGCAGCGGGACGTGAAGTTTTCTAGAAGACGTTTGGCTTCTCGTCCAAGAGGCTTATTTAGTTCTAACTGATGGTGGAGCTCTGAGATTAATATACTGTAGGTGGAACTAAAGAATAAGGGGAATAGCCCAAGGTGGCTCTGGTCCCTCCTGCTGGGGGCAATGGAGTGGTTTTGGTCTCATATTGTGAGTCAGGTGAGGGCATTTGAGAGCTGAATCTGCTGGCTGTGGGTCCTAAAAGTGCTCTGGAAGCTTCTGTCTGAGACCAGCTCCTCTGCTGAGTCATGGTTTCTCCCGGTTAACAAAAATGGCTTCCTGAACCCCTCTCTCAGACCTCTTGTCTGCCTTCTAACAAACTTCACGTCCAGTTGCCTGAACTTCTCAAGCTTGAACTGGATGACTGAGAATCTTCACAGATACATTAACTTATTCTTCAGCCCTTCCCTTTCAGTTCCACACATGGAGTAAATTTTATGATATCCTACATTTTTATTCTAGGATTGTCTTGATTCAGAATTAAAGGAAAGGGACAGAAAGAGGGGGCAGCGTGCAGGAAAGAGCTCAAATCGAACCCCGGGGTGTAGAGCTTCCCTTCATGGCTCAGCCGAAGCCCGCTTAGAAAGATTTAAATAATACAATGCTTCTGGTAAAAGGCGGGCGAAGCCTGCTCTCAGTTTAAAAAAAACAACAACATTATTTTCTGTTAATAGGCGGGCGAAGCCCGTTTAGAGGGCTTTAATCAGAGCCGGGTTCTGGTTCTGGGGATCGGACCCAACCAGGTCGGAACCGGACTGGGGCCATGTCATACCTCGTTGCGTAGGTCTTTTTCTCAGCTTTCAGCCAATGTGACCCCCGACTTACTCAAACCAATTGCATTCAGTCGGCAACCCCAGAGCTCAGCCGGGTCCCTCCATCACCTCAGGCCCTCTCATAGGCGCGAGCCCACATTACAGAGAGCCCAAATATCCATTGGCCGACCCGCCCCGGGTTCCCAGACGGGCAGCGGGTGGCCCCCCTCCAAAACTTCTTCAGACCCTGAGTGTGACCCTTTGACTCACCGACCACGGTGATGCTGCAGACTCCGGTGCGCGCGCCGGCGGCGTTTTCCAGGCTGACGCAGTAGCGGCCGCTGTGCTCCCGCTTGGCCTTGCTGATGCTGAGGCTGAGGTGGTTGGCGGAGCTGTGGAGGCTGATCTCCTCGTCCGCCTTCAGCTCCTCGTCGTTCTTGGTCCAGGCGATGGCCGGCGCCGGCTTGCCGCTGTAGCGTCCCGACAGCATGCAGGAGTCTCCCACCTTCACCATCATCTTGTCCCGGAAGTCCAGGTCCAGGGCAGGTGGCTCTGAGAGGGTAATAACAGAAGAGTTTGAGGTATTTTGGTCTGACTCCCATTAGAACAGCAGGGTCAGGGATAGGTCAGGATCAGGGTTAGGTCAGGGTCAGGATAATTGTACAAAAGTTATCATGCATTCTCTGATATATATGTGTGTGTATGTAAAGATTTAACTGTACTTGTGTAAAAGCAAGAAATCCCTTGCATCCTGTGATTAAAAACAATTTATAATCAATCATGTGTGCTTCTTCTGTCTTTCGAGAAGATGAAGTCAGAAGATGTGGTAGGAACCAAATAAAAGGAGAGGGGAGCAGAGAGAGCTCAGAGTAGGCTGGAGACTGTAAAGTCTCCGGTGCTCTCCTTGCAAGTATTCACTGAACTTACTGTGTCTGTGTCTATTTTTGTCCTCTTACAGCAGTAAGTTCAGAAGTGTTTAGGGGCAGAACCCTGACACAGGGTTAGGTCAGAGTTTGGTCAGAGTAAGGCCAGAGTTAGGTCAGAGTAAGGCCAGAGTTAGGGTCAGGGTTAGGTCAGGGTTAGGCCACGGTTAGGTCAGGGCTAGGTTAGGGCTAGAGGAGGCGTTCCACTCACCGAGCTCGTCCTTGCACTGCACGGGTTTGGTGTTGAAGGACGCCTTGCCCTGTCCCACCTGGTTGACCGCGGAGACTCTGAACTCGTGGCTGGAGCCGTCCTTCAGCCCGGTCAGCGTGAACTTCCTCTCCATCAGTTTCTCCTCTCCTCCCACTCTTACGAAACTGTCCCGGCCGATCATGCGGTGCTCCAGGACGTAGGCCGTCACCTCGGTGCCTCCGTCATATTTGGGTGGTCTCCAGGCAACGGAGACGGAGTCCTTGGTGACAGCGGTGACGATCAGGTCCTCTGGACGCTCCGGGACAGCTGAGGGACAGAATGAGGGACA